ACATTTTTATACATCTTTTAGGGCAGAACTCCTAACACTACCAAACTAACAAAGCGACTTTGGTATCATTGTTTAGTGATATTTAGTGGTTAAATTTTTAATATTTAAATGGTTAAATTAGTGGTTAAATAAATCATTGGTTTAGTGAATTTAGTGGTTAACGAGCAGTCAGTTCAATCCGTTGTATTTAGAGAGTAACTGAACATGTTTCATTCTTGTTTCCGTTATTTTGAACTGATTTTCTAACTCGATTGTAATGACGCTAAATGCTCCTTGATTCATGAGATCAGAGATTATGAAATAATAGATAGACAAACAAATACAAAGAGGAGAAATTAGTTAGGGATGAGGAAGAGGGAGAATAGGGGAAGGAGGAAAGGAGAGGGAGAATGGGGGAGGGAATGGGGAGGACGTGAAAGGGGGAGTGGGGAAGGGAGTGAAAAGGAGGGGGAATGGAGAAGGGAGTAAAAGAGGAAGGACCAGGAAGGAAGTGAATGAAAGAAAGGGGAGGTAATGAAAATAAAAAAAAAAAAAAAATGGAGAGATAATGAAGGGAAGAATGGGGGAGGGAGAGTAAGACATGAAGATTAGTAACGGAATGAAAATAGTAGAATAGAGAAGGGAGTAAATGAGGGAAAATATGAATGAATGAAATAGGGAGAATGGAAGATGGAGTGAAAAAGGGAGAATCGCGTAAAAAGCAGAGACAAAGAAAATGGAAAAGGGAGAGTTGGAAAAATACACAAGGAAAACGAGAGAAGAACCATAGTAAGGAAAATGGAGGAGAAAAAACAGAGGTGTAATAAGCACAAGAACTCAAGCGAAGACGAAGCCATAAATAACTGGATACAGTGAGTGGGATACGAGCGCAGTGAGGTTCGTCAGCAAACAGTTCCACACTTGCAATACACAGAGAAACGAAAGAAATAGAAAAAAAGAGAGAAAAAGAAAGAGAATACACGAGAAAGAGAGGAGAAAGAAGAATTACAGGGGAGAGAAATAGAAATGCAAGAAAATACGCAAAAGAAAGAGAAAGCCATAAATAGCGAGTGGGATACGAGCGCAGTGAGCTTCGTAAGCAAGCAGTTCCACACTTGCAATACACAGAGAAACGAGAGAAATGGAAAAAAGAGAAAAGAAAATAATGCGCAAGAGAAAGAGAAGAGAAAAAAGAATTACAGGGGAGAGAAATGGAGATGCAAGAAAATACACGAGAAAGAGGAGAAAAAAAACAGGGAAGAGAAATAGAGATGCAAGAAAATACACAAGAGAAAGGGACGAGAAAGAATGAGAAGAGGCAACAGAGGAATGCGTGTAAATATATTTAAGACTTGAACATACAGAGGGAATCATTTCATTTGCAATTGCTCTCAGATTGTGGTCTCAGTCAAGCGTGAAATTTCATCATACGATTATGCACTCCCCCCCCCATCCCCCCAGTATACCCCCTCCCTATCCTTCCCCCCATCTTTTTAACTCCTCTTCCCCTCCCCCTTGGTTATCTTCCACCCCCCCTGTAACCCCCCATGTAATCTCCTCCACATTTTTTTGACTTCCCCCCCCACCACCCCTCTTGTGACCTCCTCCCTTCCCTCTCAACCCCCTCCCCTCCCCTTCGCATCCCTCACTCCCCTTTCCGCCATTTTTTCAACATGCTTTTCTTCAACATCCTTTCCCATCCCCCCATCTTCTTACCCCCAACACTGCCCTATCAACATCCCCCACCTCTTTAAGGTATGCCTCCAAACTGCTTATTTGACGCTTCGATGATGGTATTAATTACCCTCTTGCAACTGCCTTATCATCGTCCTCTCTTTTCTTTTCTCTTCTCTCTCTCACTTCTTCCCATTCCCTATCATTCCGATCTTTCTTTCCTCCCTCCCTACCCTCTCTCCTCTCTCTCCTTCCTTCTCTCCTCCTCCTCCTCCCTTCTCTCCCTTCTTCCTCCTCTCTCCCTCCTCTCCTCCCTCCCTTCTCCTCCCTCTCTTCTCTTCCTTCTCTCCCTCATCCCTCTCATCCCTCTCCGTCCTTCTCTACCCTCCCTCCCTACTCTCTCCCTTCCTCCCCCCCTCCTTCCCTTTCTCCTCCTACCTTCCCCTTCTTCTCCTTCCCTCCCCTCCCTCCTTCCCCCTCCCTTCCTTCCCTCCTCTCCTCCTCCCTTCCCTCTACTCCCACCCTCTCCCTCCCTCCCCTCCATACTCCCTCCCTCTCCCTCCCTCCCTCCCTTCTTCTCCTTCCCTCCCCTCCCTCCCTACTCCACCCTCTCCTCCCTCCCTCCAACCCTCCCTCTCCAAAGCGTTCGATGTTTCCTAATGACACACTTCGCTCGACCTCAGCGCGAGTATGAGAGGAAGAAGGTTTCCTCAGACATCTCCGTTCTCCTTCTTGAAGTGGGGGCAGCCGGGGGTCTTGAAGTGGGGGGGGGGGGCAGCCGGGGTCTTGAAGTGGGGGCAGCGGGGGTCTTGAAGTGGGGGGCAGCCGGGGTCTTGAAGTGGGGGGCAGCCGGAGGTCTTGAAGTGGGGGGCAGTCGGGGTCTTGAAGTGGGGGGGGGGGGGGCTTGGGGGTCTTGAAGTGAGGGGCAGCCGGGGTCTTGAAGTGGGGGGCAGCCGGGGTCTTGAAGTGGGGGCAGCCGGGGGTCTTGAAGTGGGGGTCTTGAAGTGGGGGGCAGCCGGGGTCTTGAAGTGGGGGCAGCCGGGGTCTTGAAGTGGGGGCAGCCGGGGTCTTGAAGTGGGGGGGCAGCCGGGGGTCTTGAAGTGGGGGGCAGCCGGGGGCTTGAAGTGGGGGCAGCCGGGGGTCTTTGAAGTGGGGGGCAGCCGGGGGTCTTGAAGTGAGGGGCAGCCGGGGGAAGGGGGCAGCCGGGGGTCTTGAAGTGGGGGCAGCCGGGGTCTTGAGTGGGGGGCAGCCGGGGGCCTTGAAGTGAGGGGCAGCCGGGGGTCAGGGGGTCTTGAAGTGGGGGCAGCCGGGGTCTTGAAGTGGGGGGCAGCGGGGTCTTGAAGTGAGGGGCAGGGGGTCTTGAAGTGAGGGGCAGCCGGGGTCTTGAGTGGGGGGCAGCCGGGGGTCTTGAAGTGAGGGGCAGCCGGGGGTCTTGAAGTGAGGGGCAGCCGGGGGTCTTGAAGTGGGGGCAGCGGGGTCTTTGAAGTGGGGGGCAGCCGGGGTCTTGAAGTGAGGGGCAGCCGGGGTCTTGAAGTGGGGGGCAGTCGGGGGTCTTTGAAGTGGGGGCAGCCGGGGGTCTTGAAGTGGGGGCAGCGGGGGTCTTGAAGTGGGGGGCAGCCGGGGTCTTGAAAGTGAGGGGCAGCCGGGGGTCTTGAAGTGGGGGGCAGCCGGGGTCTTGAAGTGGGGGCAGCCGGGGGTCTTGAAGTGGGGGCAGCCGGGGGTCTTGAAGTGAGGGGCAGCCGGGGGAAGTCAAAAGTGGGGGCAGTCGGGTCTTGAAGTGGGGGCAGCCGGGGGTCTTGAAGTGGGGGGCAGCGGGGTTTGAAGTGAGGGGCAGCCGGGGTCTTGAAGTGGGGGCAGCCGGGGGTCTTGAAGTGGGGGCAGGGGTCTTGAAGTGGGGGGCAAGTGAGGGGCAGCCGGGGTCTTGAAGTGGGGGCAGCGGGGCTTGAAGTGGGGGCAGCCGGGGGTCTTGAGTGGGGGGCAGCCGGGGGTCTGAAGTGAGGGGCAGCCGGGGTCTTGAAGTGGGGGCAGCCGGGGTCTTGAAGTGGGGGGGGTCTTGAGTGGGGGCAGCCGGGGGCTTGAAGTGGGGGCAGCCGGGGCCTTGAAGTGAGGGGCAGCCGGGGTCTTGAAGTGGGGGGCAGTCTTGAAGTGGGGGCAGCCGGGGTCTTGAAGTGGGGGGCAGCCGGGGGTCTTGAAGTGGGGGGCAGCCGGGGGTCTTGAAGTGGGGGCAGCCGGGGGTCTTGAAGTGAGGGGCAGCCGGGGGTCTTGAAGTGGGGGGCAGCGGGGGTCTTGAAGTGAGGGGGCCGGGGGTCTTGAAGTGGGGGCAGGGGGTCTTGAAGTGAGGGGCAGCCGGGGTCTTGAAGCAGCCGGGGTCTTGAAGTGGGGGGCAGGGGGGAAGTGAGTCTTGAAGTGAGGGGGCAGTCGGGGTCTTGAAGTGAGGGGCAGTCTTGAAGTGGGGGCAGCCGGGGGTCTTGAAGTGGGGGCAGCCGGGGTCTTGAAGTGGGGGGCAGCGGGTCTTGAAGTGAGGGGCAGTCTTGAAGTGGGGCAGCCGGGGAAGTCTTTGAAGTGGGGGGCAGTCCGGGGGTCTGGGGCAGCCGGGGGGGAAGTGGGGGGCAGCCGGGGGTCTTGAAGTGGGGGCAGCCGGGTCTTGAAGTGGGGGCAGTCGGGGGTCTTGAAGTGAGGGGCGGGGTTTGAAGTGGGGGGCAAGTGGGGGCAGTCGGGGGAAGTGAGGGGGCTGGGGTCTTGAAGTGGGGGCAGCCGGGGGTCTTGAAGTGGGGGGCAGCCGGGGGTCCTTGAAGGGGGCAGTCTCTTGAAGTGGGGGGCAGCCGGGGGCTTGAAGTGGGGGCAGTCGGGGCCTTGAGTGGGCAGCCGGGGTCTTGAAGTGGGGGCAGTCGGGGGTCTTGAAGTGAGGGGCAGTCGGGGTCTTGAAGTGGGGGCAGCCGGGGGTCTGAAGTGGGGGGCAGCCGGGGGTCTTGAAGTGGGGGGCAGCCGGGGTCTTGAAGTGGGGGGCAGTCGGGAAGTGGGGGCAGTCCGGGGTCTTGAAGTGAGGGGCAGCCGGGGGAAGTGGGGGCAGCCGGGGTCTTGAAGTGGGGGGCAGGGGGCCTTGAAGTGGGGCAGGGGGGTCTTGAAGTGGGGGGCAGTCGGGGGCCTGAAGTGAGGGCAGCGGTCTTGAAGTGGGGGCAGCCGGGGTCTTGAGGGGGCGGGGTCTTGAGTGAGGGGCAGTCGAAGTTGAGGGGCAGTCCTTGAAAGTGAGGGCCCGGGGGTCTTGAATGTGGGGCCGAGGGTGAAGTGGGGCAGTCCGGGGTCTTGAAGTGGGGGCAGCGGGGTCTTGAAGTGGGGGCAGCAAGTGAGGGTCTTGAAGTGAGGGGAGCGGGGTCTGGAAGTGGGGGAGCCGGGGGTCTTGAAGTGAGGGGCAGTCGGGGTCTTGAAGTGGGGGCAGCCGATCTTGAAGTGGGGGCAGTCGGGGCCTTGAAGTGGGGGGCAGCCGGGGTTTGAATCAGGGGGCTTGAAGTGGGCAGGGGGTCTTGAAGTGGGGGGCAGCCGGGTCTTGAAGTGGGGGGCAGTCGGGGTCTTGAAGTGAGGGGCAGGGGGGTCTTGAAGTGGGGCAGCCTCTGAAGTGGGGGGCAGCCGGGGGTCTTGAAAGTCGGGCTTGGGGGGGCAGCCGGGTCTTTGAAGTGGGGCAGCCGGGCCTTGAAGTGGGGGCAGCCGGGGGTCTTTGAAGTGGGGGCAGTCGGGGGTCTTGAAGTGAGGGGCAGCGGGGTCTTCTTGAAGTGGGGGGCAGGGGGTCTTGAAGTGAGGGGCAGTCGGGTCTTGAAGTGGGGGCTCCTTGAAGTGGGGGGCAAGTGAGGGGGGGGAAGTGGGGGCAGCGGTCTTGAAGTGGGGGCAGCGGGGTCTGAAGTGGGGCAGCCGGGGGTCTTGAAGTGGGGGCAGCCGGGTCTTGAAGTGGGGGGCAGCCGGGGTCTTGAAGTGGGGGGCAGCCGGGGTCTTGAAGTGAGGCTTCTTGAAGTGGGGGGCAGCCGGGGAAGGGGCCTTGAAGTGGGGGCAGCCGGGCTTGAAGTGGGGGCAGCGGGGGCCTTGAAGTGGGGGGCAGCCGGGGGTCTTGAAGTGGGGGCAGTCCGGGGCCTTGAAGTGAG